AATACGTAAGCATCTTCTGTAAACCAAAGTTATAAACAATTTATTAAGCACTTCCGTTTTTTATTGATATAATATTGTATATAATTTGTATATAATATTGTATATAATTTATATATAATATTGTATGTAATTTATATATAATATTGTATGTAATTTATATATAATATTTTATATACTATTGAATATAATATTGTATAATTGAATATAATATTAAAATAGCCATTTTTAGTGCGAATACAAATATTTTTCTTTCTGCCTTGAAACATTGTAAAAATTTCGAATGGAATTTTGTATAGCTCAGTAAACAATTATAATGATTCATCAGATATTTCTATCGTCTATAAAAATTGTTCCTTTTTCAGATAAAATAAGATAGTCACATTTATCGTGTCCACAATTGTAGAAGCAGCTAATTTATAAATTAAGTTGTACCTATTAAGAAAAATTTAGTAGTTTTGAAGCTGTCCGATCATGTAAAGATTATTCTACTAGATGCGAGTAGACGAGGTGCAATTACGGTGAGACAATATTTTTGAAAGCGGTGACAGTCAATATGCAGTTGCAATTAGGGCTGCAGCGTTGATGTAGGGGCAATAGTAATGTGTTTGTCCTCGTCTGACCATGTGTGAACTGTTCTACTTGTGTGATAGGGTGGAGATTTGTGCATGGTTCGAATTCATAGTTGAATGACTGAGTATCGACAATTTGCAATAGCAGATTTATACGGTAAACAGTCATGCGAACATTTGATATCGCAAACTATTCAGTCCTTGTGTTAAAACGAATGTGTAACGTGATTCTTTTAATCGACGGAAGTAGTATAAGTATTGCATTGGTCGGACCATTTCGTTTCACAAAGGTATATTGTCTAAATAAAACAATCATCTGATAACATAATCTTTTAATCACTGTCTGGGATCATTAATATCCAGATTAAACAGGTCTGATCATCGATAGCCTACTCTACTTGCAGAAAATAATAAACGAAACAATCTTTTGTACTTTTCTTTCTAATCTTTCGCAAACTATGCTTCGCCGAAACTAATCAAGATTGCTGTACAATAATTCCAACTTATTCTGACATCGTAGACCAATTATAAATGTCTGGTTATAAACAATCTATTCTACTGGGACAAAATAATGAAACACGTTATTGAATTTCGTGCTTCTTTCCCTGATCTTTCATAAACTTCACACAAATTAACCAGATCTACCATACAATTTCCAACAAATTCTTGTGCAATATTATTTTATATATATATATATATATTATTATTATAATTATTATTTTATATAAAATTCTTTAAATTTTAAGTATCTTTTAAGCAATTTAAAATCGGATCAAGTAATTTATTTCTGTATAATGAATCATGCTGCTCCACTTCCAGGCTAAAACTACTGAAATCTGAGCGTGCACTGAACACTAAAGTTAAGACAGACCCTTCCCTTAGACTTTTAATCGCACAGTTACAATTCCACTGCGAGCGTAAGTAGTACAAGCCCGACTACAGCCGGACAACTTTTAATGAACGCACGCCTGATGTGTTTCCCGGTGAATCAGAGACTCTTCCCCATCCGACATTCAAGCTCCATCATGTCGGGAAAAAATCAAATCGCTCGCGTTGTACAATCCTTCGCGCGGATTGAGCATTAAAGCTTTCAAATCGCGGATCGATTCGCCGGAACCTGGAATCCGCTCGGCCGGAAGCAAAACGGCTCGATATCCGCGATGGGCGCCACGAAAAAAAAGGAGTCGGGAAAACCTCTGGACAGGTCGTTATCCGTAGAAATCCGTGGTCCCATTCCAGTTGATCCTTGTTCTCGCCCCCGTCGATCGTGTTTCGAGATAAGATCTGCAAATACCGCTTTTCATACATTCCATCCTGGATTTATTGCGATTAATTTAACAAACGCTCTTGCTCGTCAAAATATTCACCGTGGAATTTGTTACCTTCTTTCGCGAGCGAAATATTCATTTCCGGGCAATTATCGGTGTTGCCGGTTTTATAATTAAATCGCAAATAAGGATTACTTTCCCTCTGTACCAACTTCAGTGTATTTAATATATTTTTCCTGTTAAAATGCAGTTAATTATTTCCGTCACAAACGCATAAAATTTGTAGTCTGATTATAACAGATTTTGTTCAAAGAAATTAAAGATCGTAGTACCAAAAGATTAATTTTTTTACGTCCGTTCGAGTCATTTCAAGTTCTCTTTCCCCCTGTAACAATTATAATTAGACTGCGGATTTTATGTTTATAAAAAAAATGGGCAGATGCAACTTAAAATCCCAGTGAAAAATTAACATAGTTAAAGGATTTCAGTACACTATTTTCAACGTATTAAAGTTTCGAGAGAAAGATAGAAATCCACGAGTGACTCTGGTCTCTTGCAACAAATACGGAACATTTTTATTTTGCGCAGAGAACCGTTGTGTAATTATAATGAATAATGTTTAGCATGTCGATGCTCTTCTGTCGAATTGCAACTATGCGCATTTTGCATTGTGCAAAATGCACAATGTCTCCGATTCAGTTCTAACAATAAGGATTTTGGGCGTCAAATCCCAACTTCTGATGGTCTGACCAAAATCGTCCCTATCCACTGAATTTCCTAAAAGAGTGTTACTATTTCACGGTTATGATAATGAAAGCTCACCGTCCCACGAAGTGGAGCACACCAAGAATTTTGGAATAGTAATCATCTCCGGTCTGACGCAAACAGTCTGAATCTACTTACCTGAATACAAGCGTCGCATCTCACGGTTCGCTTACAGCGATTACAACTTCCGTGCGAATATTTATGCCTGCTTACTTACTTGCCGCCCAACTGCTCCCGTAATTGCTGCTAACTAGCAAAGAAGCTCTTCTTATTATTAATACTCTCGGCAACACTGCGCGGACTTACTAGCTGACAGTTTCAGAGACTAATTTTCCAAGAATCCTCAGACTCTAACATTTTTCGACCAACTTTAGGACTTAGCGTTCTAAATATTTTCTGGCCACTTTCGATAATTAGACTTCCCCTAAATGATAGGAATAGCACTTAATATAAATTATATTCATCGTGCAGGTAGTTGGATATTATGTTCACATCTCACGATTCATACTAAAATAAATTCTACTGAAAAGTCGCGTTATAGTGAAAACCTTTATTAGTTTAGATCCTAATTCTCTGTTATCCGAACATTATGGGCAGATTTTACTGTAAATGGTAAATAACAAATTCCAAATTAAATTAATGTTTAATCTGCAAATAATTTTTTAAGTTAAGTTTTTTATTTAATTGAAAAATCATTTACATAATTCCACAAATAATGGATTTATTATTTCTTATTTGCAAATAAAATGTTTTAAAAAATTCTTTAAATATTATTATATATATTAATAATATTAAAAAGATATTAAATATTATTAATTCTTCAAATAATAAAATTCTTCTTCGTTTCTCTTTTGCAATAAATATTACTTTACCATTTTATTTAAACTTCCAAATAACAAATGGATTGTTATTTTAATAACCATTTCAATGAACATACGTATCTATTACTAGCTGTTATCTGAAAACGGCAGCTCTAGCACATTAAATGGATGTAATAGAATATCCTTTGCAACGGCAGCAATCGAGGATCGGGCATTTCGCAAGTATCAGCCTAATAAAATCCGCGAGAATGCATTCGGAGCCGACGGTTTCGGAGCCGAAAAGCGACCAGCGACGACCATACTCGCGCCGATAATTCCGCGGAAGCGGAAACGACTGCGGCGAATTTCCCTCCAGTCGATTTTCGCGCGAAACAGCAGCGCAATTTCGAGCGGCCAGTGCGAATTGGCGAAATGTTTGAGGACCAGCGCACCGTGTATCGCAGTTGAAAGATGATTTCGCTCGTACAGGACATAGAAAGGGACGGGGAGACAAGGGGAACAGGATCGGCGAGATACGAATTCACGCGACGCTGCGTTCGACGAATCAAGGCTCGCCATTCTCGCTCCTGTCCTTTCTTCCCACAAATTTCTCTGCTCCCTCGTGACATCGCCCGTTTCTCTCTCTCTCTCTCTCTCTCTCTCTCTCTCTCTTTCTCTTCCTCTTTTCGGTCGGACCATTGAAAATCGTCGACGATAATTGCTCCGATGGATATTTTTATCCTTTGTCCCACGCGGGCTTCCCTTTCCTCTGGATTGGGAAACCGAACGACTCGTTATTATGTGATTAACGTTCATTTTATATAGTTCGTTCGACGGTCTATTACACAGTGGTATGCGTCGATGAATTTAGTAAAGTTTCGGGAATGTTGCACTAAGAATGTCGAAGCGGAATTTTCGCTGAAAAATTTTGACAAATAATTTGAGTCGCTACTTATTTATATGTCTTTTACGCGACTGATTTATATCGCTAATTCTCTATATTTAATATAGAGCTGATGAAAATCTCTGTTTATCTATATTTTCTTCTAAAATCACTAAAATCACTACAGCTGATTTGAGTCACTATTCATCTCAATTTTCCACACTGCTAATTAAAATCACTTATATTTTCTAAACAGCTAATTTAGATCGCTGGATTAAATAAGACGATCAACTTTGATCTGAAAGCAGTAGGCTCAAAAACGCACAAGAAAGATTGTCACGTACATTGGTCCTTAAATTCCTTTTTATTATTATTTATTTTCTAATAATTCATTATAGCTATGACACATATTTAAATAGAAAAAAGGCCAGAGAATGTCCAAATAACATAACAATATCTTATTCATCAGTTAGAATGGCTTTTAAACATTTAAATATGTAGCGGTCGTCGTCCATCGAATTCGAGCTTGGCACAGAAAATATTTTCGGGCGATACTCGTCGTATCCACTTAAGAGGTTAAATAATAATTACCGTAAACATTAAAATGTCGTCTTTGATTTTCCGGTGAAATAATGGACGCTTGATAGTTCGGCAACGACTGTCCGGCAGCATAAAGATCGGCAGAGTTTTAACAGAATCGTTCGTTTGATTTCAGAGACCGCCGACCGCTCCCTCGCCGCGTTCCCGATTGACAGCGCCCCGTTGCCACCCCTGACGAAATAATGCGAGCGAAGCGCATCGAGGAGGAGACGCGCTTCAGACTGCTAAGGTACACGCACCGCGCCAAGTGTCGCAAGATCATTTAGTCGGGGCATCGGAGATCATTGAGAACAGACTGACGGAGGAGGAGACTGACACCGTAACCAACTCTCTCACCAACACCACCACCACCACCACTACCACCAAAACCACCTGGCTGTGATTTCATAACATTCGACCCCCATCAACGATCCATCGAACCTCTCTAGTGTTTGCTCGCGTGTGCGTTCGAGACGAGTGACAACACAACCAATAATCATTAATCGAAGCGGACACATTCGGCGAGAATACAGTGCGAAATTCGGTGAGATCGTGCCGCGGCTCGTCGTGATCCGCCCGCGGACAGGATCGCAGGATCTTCGCTCGATCCCAAAGGAATTGGAGGAGACGGCTCGGCGAGGACGTTTTTCGGTGCCGGATTCTGCGGANTTTTCGGTCGGACCATTGAAAATCGTCGACGATAATTGCTCCGATGGATATTTTTATCCTTTGTCCCACGCGGGCTTCCCTTTCCTCTGGATTGGGAAACCGAACGACTCGTTATTATGTGATTAACGTTCATTTTATATAGTTCGTTCGACGGTCTATTACACAGTGGTATGCGTCGATGAATTTAGTAAAGTTTCGGGAATGTTGCACTAAGAATGTCGAAGCGGAATTTTCGCTGAAAAATTTTGACAAATAATTTGAGTCGCTACTTATTTATATGTCTTTTACGCGACTGATTTATATCGCTAATTCTCTATATTTAATATAGAGCTGATGAAAATCTCTGTTTATCTATATTTTCTTCTAAAATCACTAAAATCACTACAGCTGATTTGAGTCACTATTCATCTCAATTTTCCACACTGCTAATTAAAATCACTTATATTTTCTAAACAGCTAATTTAGATCGCTGGATTAAATAAGACGATCAACTTTGATCTGAAAGCAGTAGGCTCAAAAACGCACAAGAAAGATTGTCACGTACATTGGTCCTTAAATTCCTTTTTATTATTATTTATTTTCTAATAATTCATTATAGCTATGACACATATTTAAATAGAAAAAAGGCCAGAGAATGTCCAAATAACATAACAATATCTTATTCATCAGTTAGAATGGCTTTTAAACATTTAAATATGTAGCGGTCGTCGTCCATCGAATTCGAGCTTGGCACAGAAAATATTTTCGGGCGATACTCGTCGTATCCACTTAAGAGGTTAAATAATAATTACCGTAAACATTAAAATGTCGTCTTTGATTTTCCGGTGAAATAATGGACGCTTGATAGTTCGGCAACGACTGTCCGGCAGCATAAAGATCGGCAGAGTTTTAACAGAATCGTTCGTTTGATTTCAGAGACCGCCGACCGCTCCCTCGCCGCGTTCCCGATTGACAGCGCCCCGTTGCCACCCCTGACGAAATAATGCGAGCGAAGCGCATCGAGGAGGAGACGCGCTTCAGACTGCTAAGGTACACGCACCGCGCCAAGTGTCGCAAGATCATTTAGTCGGGGCATCGGAGATCATTGAGAACAGACTGACGGAGGAGGAGACTGACACCGTAACCAACTCTCTCACCAACACCACCACCACCACCACTACCACCAAAACCACCTGGCTGTGATTTCATAACATTCGACCCCCATCAACGATCCATCGAACCTCTCTAGTGTTTGCTCGCGTGTGCGTTCGAGACGAGTGACAACACAACCAATAATCATTAATCGAAGCGGACACATTCGGCGAGAATACAGTGCGAAATTCGGTGAGATCGTGCCGCGGCTCGTCGTGATCCGCCCGCGGACAGGATCGCAGGATCTTCGCTCGATCCCAAAGGAATTGGAGGAGACGGCTCGGCGAGGACGTTTTTCGGTGCCGGATTCTGCGGACTTGTTTTGCGGCAGCTTCCGCGAAGCTGCGGGAATTGTTTTTGCTCGGGAGAAGTAAAGCCGCGGATCTAGGAGTTCCGCAGCGTGGATCATCGTCGGAGCTCCTTGGAACGGAGCCATCTTTGTTAGCGTTTGGACGACAAGATTTTTGCCGATTCGGCGACTCGAGGAAAATTTGAAAGTGGAAATCTAAAGTCTGAATCCAGTAGACTTCTAATTTAAGAGGAACAACCGGCGCTCAAGTATCATTTTATTTTTTCCTTTTTTCGAAGCTAGAACCGTAGCTGGTTAAGTGGTGCACCGTTTTAATAAGATTTCCGCAGTGTTTGTGGATTGTCGGAGGATTGATTCCCCGTGGAATTGGAGCGAAGGGTCGAGGTGTCCGAGATCCGGGGATCTCTCTGAATTCGCCGCAAGGTGAAATTAAGTAGAAATCTGAATAATTGGCAAAGGGGACCGTGGAGGATCAATCGGGAGGGATCCCACGAAAACACTCGGGCGAAAGCAACCAGGCGGTACTTAAAGGATCCCGGTCCGGAGGACACGGAGTTAAGCCAAATTAAAAGGACCTCGGGACACGTAATCTAGTGATTTCCGAGTCGGAGATACCGAAAGCAATTAATAACTAGCGAACCTGCGAGAGAATTCGGCGATAGAACCATTGTTAAACGTTTACAAATGACTCGTAAAATAAAATTTCATTTCGTAAAATAAAAGCAAATTCGAAACTTGAGAGGCACTTAATATTCAGGACATGAAATTCGAAAGATACGTTATTCTTATCAGTGTCGAGGCAAGAGAACGTACCATAGACCATAAAATAAATCATTGATAAAAACGCGACTACAAAAAGGTCGAAAGCACACAGCTAAATTATTATTATTATTAAACATTTACAAAAAGTTCTGAAGACTTCGTAAAATATTCGATGCTCGTAGAATTCGTGAAACTGTTGTGAACGTCGAATCCAAGAGCAGCTTCGCGGCTTTTGCCAGTGTCGGAGAAAAAAAAGAAAGAGTCGGTGTCGAGTGGATAAGAAAGCACGGTCGGTGACAAGAGAACAATAGAAACTCGGCAAGTTTGTCGAACGAGTGTCGAAATCGCAGGAACATAAAATTGAATAACTTGTCAGGATCGTTGCGAAGAGGATCGAGGGGTAGAAACAGGGTAGAGGTAAAAAAAAAATGTCAAGAGGACCGTATGCCCGGGATCGAAGCTCTGCCATCGATTTCCCACCCCTGGCGAAGGGTTGACGTTCGAAAAGAGTATTCGGGGATCAACGACGCGTCCCGGGACGGCCCGAAAGAGATAATAAAAGAGTGTGCTCTCTGCACCGAATCTGGGGTGCTCGTCGTGAAGCTAGACACCGAGGGGGATGGTTTAAGGTTCGAGGGGTTGCTCTATCCTCGAGCCGGAACCTCGACGGTGAAAGAACCGAGCGGCTGAAAAGGCGAAGAGCAATCAAAGCGATACAGAGAAAAAGGGAACTCCATATTTAACTTGAACTCCGTAGGGGTGGTTTTAGAATTGAAGAGGTGTGCAGTCGAGAAACTGAGAACGCGCGGAGACAGAAATTCATAGTTAACTAAGAAATCACGGGAAGTTGGTTCGTGTTTCATAGTGTTCGAAGAAGCCGAGGGAGAGGGAAGGAGAATTTCAGCAGCGGAAGAAATAAAATCGGAGATTTGCTTGGAAGTCTCGAGTGGTGGACCGGCTGCAGTTGAACGAAGTTATCGGAACTAAAAGACTCGTTGGAATGAATAATTACGGTGTCGTACATGTGAAAGTTTATTGGTAAGACATTGTTGAAAGTGTGAATATTTTTAATCGATTATCGTCGGAACAGAAAAATTAATTAAAAGAGTGGACCACCGAGAAGAATAAAAATTCGAGATTTAGTAAGAAATTCAGGGGTGGATTTAGACATTGGCGTGGTTCCGAGCGTCTACAATTAAGGGAGAGATTATCCGAGACAAGGAGGCACACATTGAAAAGTAAAAGAAGATACACCGAAGGCATTTCGGAGACAGAAGAAATAAAATTCAGGGATTAACGTGAAACGAAAGGGTTGTTTTGGACTCGGGAATATTCAAAACGCGGAGACCAAAATAAATAGCACGCATTGAGAAGGATATTTCGACCGAGCAAAAGGTACGAGTGAAAAATTTGCCGAAAGGGTGGCTCGGAGAAATTCGCACGGACGAGAAATAAAATCGAAGGTCCACCAGGGGATGGAGGTTTGGTTTCACAACACGAAGGATCGACAACCAGAACGGCCGGAACCCGAAAATAAACGTTAAAATCGAAAATCGAACATTTCCAAAAGCGATAGGACAAAAATCGCCGAAGGTGTGGTTACATCCCCGAGAAGGGTGCGGGACGAGTCGGAGCTGCCAGGATAAAATAACCGGATCAAAATCGGGGAAAAATCGAAGAAGCCGCGGCAAAGTGCAAGCGACACATAGAGGGAACGCGGTCGCGGGCCAAAGGGGTTGTAAGAGGGTGGGGTAGGAATGATGGAAGGGAAACGAGGATCGAATGAGCAGCGTCAGCGTGTCGGATCGTTCTCCCCGACGCAGTGAGGATCGCGGACAGGGAAATGGGAGCGGCGATCGAGTTCGAGCAACGATATACCGGATCGATGCCGCGGTGGTGGAATGAATGAGCGGCTCACGGGGGTGGCGAGCCGGAAGTCGACGCTCCGCGGATTCGGAACGGGTCCCGACGGCTCGGCGGCCTGTCAAAACATCCGGGGCCGAGGCGAGAACCGAGTTGGAAGGGGCGGCACGTACCTGCGGGGATGAGGGTTAATGAGGGACCGGGATTGGACCGGTGAAATAATTGGCTTTGGAAGTATGCGCGAGCCGAAGAAGAAATTAGCGGAGGAAGGGGCTGCTCGGCATAGATTCTCGCGAAGGGGGTGGGGAGCCACGGGGGTGGTCTTTTCGCGGACACTCGTGCGGTCCACGCGTTAGAAACGAATCGAAGTGTCTACGACCGAGTGTGAATCTTCCTGGTGTACACTGTGGTTCCTGTGAAGTGAATTGGCGTAGCGAGACGAATGAGGACTCGTCGAGGTGCGAACCTAACGGCGGATGCGATTGTTCCGAAGGAGTACAGAGTGTAATTAAAACGGTTCATCCGGTGTTTCGATTTCAGCCGCGACATATTCGAACGATCGGGAGTTCGGTGAAGTGCAGTTCAGTTCGATAATGAGTTCCGTGTGAGCGACCGCGTTGTCGAGACGATAAGGGGGAGCGCGGCGACCGGAAGTGTCCACGGTCCTCGGTTCCCAGCGAGTGCTTCGACGTTGTCACGGCGTCTGCGACTGACGAAACGAGAAAGACTGATAAACGTTGGACTCCCGTCTCCGGTTCATCCGCTGGAAGAAGACAGACGGCGGAGTCCCGCGGACGCGGTTCGATCGATCGATCGATCGGAGCTAATCCGTGAATCTTGGGAGCCTTCGTCCGCTCCGCGAGCTGGTTTCCTCTCGGACAGAAGGAAGGCGACCCGGCGAACGAGCGAGATAAAAAGAGCGTAGGAGCAGCCGTGTAAATAGTTGATTCGCGATTAAGGGGAGGAAGGAGAACAAGGACTGCTCGGAGAAGGAACTAGTCAACGGGAGACGGAGAATAGACTGAAAACAAGTATCAAATTAAAGCGAGTATTTCGAGATTAAGTTTACGATTAAACAATAGCTAGCTGGCCAGAGGTGGCTCAGGCCAGGAGAAGCGAATTACGGTCCTCGGCGAAGGAGGAAAGGCAAAGAGCACCGGAGAGGACCGAAGAGGACTGAAGAGGACTGAAGAGGACTAAAGAGGAAAGGCCGAGGTGTCTTTCGACAGGGCCAAATGAGTCCTCCATCGGCAACCATGACCCAGGTGATCCGCTGACCAATAGCAGCCCGGTAGCAAGTCGGTCGAGAGATGGGGACGATGCAGGTGGTTCGATGGTGTCCTTCGCGATCCGTTGCCCGGCCATTCGAGTCCTCGTTCAACCGGAAGCCCTTCGCCGCCCTTGGAGAGGATCGTACGGACGCGGCAGAGGAGCTTGCCAATTAAAATGCGAGAACTGAACGCCACCGCATGCGCTGCTTTGTACGAGCGCGTCGAGTGGTCTAGCCCCTGGAACCTGATTACCCTGATCGTCCTAGCGATCGTGAACGTGATGGTGGTGCTAGGTAACGTGCTCGTCATCCTGGCTGTCTACCACACCAACAAACTCAGGAACGTGACCAACATGTTCATCGTGAGCCTCGCCGTTGCCGATCTCATGGTCGGTCTCGCTGTTCTACCTTTCAGTGCCACGTGGGAGGTCTTCAAGGTAGGTCTCTGCATCTTTCGCTTCTTAAACGAGCGTCAGCGTGGTAGGAAAATGTAACGCGACAAGTGCGGTGGAGTATTTTATATATATATCTTTCTTTAGCAAAATTTATTATATATAATATAATAATAATAATTTTATTATATTTATATAATATATTATAATAATATAAAAATATAAAAATAATATAATATATTTATATAATAATTTATTATATTTATATGATAATAAATTTATTATATATTTTTCTTTAGCAAAATGTTCAGAGAAATAATCTGCATCCGGAAATTTTTCATTCGAATAACACATTTGTCAATAATAATGTTATAACAAATACAATGATGCGTTATGCATTGTTATTGTTATTATTATATTATTGTTGTGATTTTTTTTAAAGCAGGTTAATCATTTAAACATTGATCCAGTATCGTATGCTGTGGGGCGAATTGCAATTCTAGCAAATAAAAGATTATACTCGCGTCAGATACGGCTTTCGATGTCAACTGTCACGGTATTTTTGTCAATTCATAGGTTTACAACATTTTGAGTCGTAGAAGAAATAGTTTTTTAATATTCTCAGTGTATTAATCCCGAAATTAACGAAAACTCAGTAGACGCTGATTCGACTAAAATAAAGTTCATACTTCGGGCGTTTGCATAATCGTTTACATAGCGGTGGAGAGTTTGGGTTTGGTGCGCGTTTGGGAATCGCTAAACTTGCTTGTCTAGGTCTTGTTAAACTTGACTATCGTAACATTTCGTTGTAAGACATACAAATTAATAATTGCATAAATAAATCGATCAACTAAATACATAATGCATTAATTAACTAACAAGAAAAATTGCCTGACGGTATTCTTAAATTCTTTCAACGTTTTCGCAGTTTTCTATTCACCCACTGATTTGTATTATAAACGTATGAATTCCGCTGTTCAATGATGAACGTTGTTTACTGCGATGTAAAAAAAATGATTAATCAATAAATAATTGTAAATTCTGATTTCAGTATCACGAGATATATACAAATTTTCACATTCATACATCAATTTCCAAAGATTAGAATAAAAAGCAAAGGTTCCTTCGTCATCTAAAAGATGATTCATTGTAAAACGAAAATAAAAATATTATTAGACCTTGTCAATTGATACGTTTCCTCGCATTTGTTCCATAAATTGCATAAAGATCCGTAGTCTGCCGATCACTAAGCGAGCACAAAATTTGTCCGAGTAAAAATAAATGCAGCTAATCAGTTTCCATGCATTGCAATTGTAAAAAGTACAATTAGATGAAACGACGCGGGTAACGAAAGGATCGGGAGCTGCAACAGTGCGTCGCGTAAACAGCTTTGAATCGCGCCATTGTGCCGGAAGCAGCAGGCAGCTTCAAAGACTTCGGATCAACGGTGTTGTGCCAGGCATCTGCACAGAACACCGATTATCGAAAATCAGATACGCATTATCGTTGATCGTGACGCGCGTATCCAAGCCCATTGTTCTCGGTTAAGACAGGAACGCGTGCTGACGCGTCGATCTTCCGCAAATGGAGTAACGCATTCTCTAAAACAACGTTTCCCAACCCACGAACCCGTTGTCTTTCATTGAACCGCGTTCATCATTTCAATGGCCCGTGAAACGGTATCTACCATCATGATCCGCAATCCTTCTTCCCTCAATTATCTTGGTAAGACCGTAACGATGCGCCCAATTATTACACCGCGGATTCGGTACATTTATGACAAATATGGGTAGACCACGGTACTAAGTTTATTTCAAGAAATACAAGTTAGCCGCAAATGTTTCAATAATTGTAACAAGTTGAGAATAATGTATATAATAATTAGAATAATAATAATAGAAATAAAATATTATTATTATAGAATAATAATAATAGAATAATGTATATAATATTTCTAAATCCTTCCAGTGTCTCCACAGTTTTGCACTTCGCTTCGTTATAAATGCATAAAATCCGCAAGTTAATCACGTAAACAACGTCAAATAAATTTTGTGGACATAATTATTTAAAATTGTAAAACGTAATATGATATTCGCAGAATCAACGATTTTTTTTTAAATATATTTTATAAAAGGAATTTTATAAATAAAGGATTTTATAAATTTCATACAATGAAGGAAATAATTATGGAAGCTATTCACGCCGGCATGGAGGCGAACGTGTGCAAATTACCAACAAAAGAATTTCTACGTGGCTTCTTACGTCTTGCAATTAAGAGCATTAACGTTTCGCGCAAAGATTTACATTCTAAATGATAAATATTCGAGTCACAGAGTATATCCTTAAATTTTGCTTACGTTTGTCTCACGTCTCATCTAGATTTTGCTATGAATGCACAAAAAACTCCACTCATCATTCTGCTCCGTCTGCAGATTTCCTTAATTCTGAACTGAGAACGTCGAAACGCTAACGACTCCTACAATTATCTTCTGATTAAACATCTTTTAAATCTCGGTGAACAACGCTTATCATTGGATAAAAATTGGTGAGTGAATACAAAACTGTGAAGAGCTTGAAAGAAGGTCCGAGGTTTCCGATTTATTTAAATTATTAATAGAGAAAATACTTTTCCGTGTCGTTTCAATTTTGGACGAATGACTTAGAAAATGTTTATTTCGCTAAAAGATCCGCGGTCTACTTATCATTAGACTTTATTCCCTCTGAAAATTGTAACATTTCTTTCTAATCAACAGACTAAAATATTCTTATTATTCTAAAATATATCTCAATATATCAGTTCATAATGAAAGATTACAGTAGTCAAAATTAGCAAGAGTTAATTCCGAAACCTAAACAAAAAATATCACCAACACTACATAAACGACTGTACGCATTTAACACATTATAACTTTCGACAATTATTTATATTTATATCCAACCAGCGTACCATCAACCAGCAGCTTTATACTTAACTACCAACTTAGCAAAATCAATAATTAAAAATTGAAAAGTTAAGATGCATTGTGTCATCCAGTACACTTCTGTCATTCTGCACTTCGCGGATCCCAGACAAATTTGTCGCACGCTAGACATCGAAGCAAATTTTCATTTTTAAATCTGGACAGGCAGTCCGTCCCGTTGGTGGTATCCGCGGCGCTTGATGTGTGAATTTCAAGGTGAGAAGGGTTGAGAAAGCTGCTCTAGAGTGCACGCAGCAGGTGCAACGGGGGCAGCAGCGGCTGACTGCCGGTGCAGCGTGCACCCGCGCCGGTCCAACCACCTGTTTTCGAATTCCCCTCGACCCCTGGCCGCACCGTTGTTCGATTCGATTAGCGAACCCCCGGCCAGCAACCCCTGTCTCCCGGCGCAATAATGCTTCGCGCGTTGTTATTAATCCAGCAACCCGTGAACTTCGCTATAAACGGTCGCTCGGTTTGTTTCGCCGGCTTGTCGTCGATAGCAACGCCCCCGGCTCGGTTAGATTATTGGATAACGTCGATGAAATTAAGCGGTGACGAGGTGGTGGGGGGGTTGGTTCTGTTCTCTGTTATCCCTCGCTAAGATGGAGGATGAACGAGGGACCGATGTTAAGAGGTTTCTCTTATGTACCGCGATCCTCGAGTCGATTGTTCGGACATTATCCGTGCCGGGACTTCTGGCTGGGGTTCCTTCGCCACCCTTGGTTCCCTCTCGAAGGGTACAATGCTACGGAAAGGCTAGCACAATGTGCTGGAACTTGGAATATTGTTTTATGTCGAGACGTTTTATTCCTTGCAGAGCCCTAATTTTGGGAGCGGGTTTCTCGGTCACTGCTCGCGTTATTTGAATGGAACAAAATGCAAATAATAGATACAGGTTAGGGTAACGTCTTATAATTTTTTCGAAATTTTGGGAAAACCGGTGAGCGTAGAAATAATTATTTCTTAAGTAGTGTCGAATCTGTAGCGTCGAAACTACCCCTAACTTTGGGAGTGATTTTCTCGGCCACCGTTTGGTAGATTTGAACCGAATAAAGTGCAAATAATAGCTACTGATTAGAGTAACGTCTCACAATTTTTTCAAAATTTTAGATCGATCAGGGAGAATAGGAAAAATGATTCCGTCGAGGAAGATTGTGTCGAGTTTCTACTTTTTCTGATGCAGTCGACGAACCTTATTTTGAAGAGCGGTTAATAAAAGCGGTTAATAAAATAATGCAAATAGCAGATACGTGTCAAGTTAACATCGAGTAATTATTTCAGAACTTTAGGACGATCGATGCGGCTTGGAGACTGTTACATCTCGAGGATGCTCGTGGCGAATTTCTATTCCGTCTCGCACAGGGACGAATTACACATAAATAATGTAACAAACGTATGTCACGAATAATGCTATAATTTCCTGTATAAGTCTCGAAGCACCGGGCAAGATTTATTCAAATCTATTCGAATGATTGCGGTCTCCCGTCGCGCGAATTTCCATTCCGAAGCAGAATTAATTTCAGGTTTGAAAAGTTCCGTAACAGTTCGGACAGCATTGTGTTTAATTCTGGGTACGGCGCGATAACGTCGTTTGAAACTCGAGTAAATACGCCGGAAATTTATGGGAAATGTAACGAAACCTAGCGCTAATGGTGTTTAATTAATTATTCCTCTCGGCGAGCCTTTTGTTCCCGACTGCTGGAATACAACAACGCCCGTGTTTGCATAAGAAAAAGACGGAAAGCCTTGTTGAAGAATTGGTCGTTAAAAAATGATGCTCTTGGAGGTCTACGGATCGTGCTTTCTTCATCATCTTTTTCTTTCTCTTTTTCTCTGTAAAGTCACCTCGGCGTCGAGTTGCGTCGCCAGGTTTCTTCGTCACCAATTCAACTAATGCGAATGATTCTTCTTGGCGGAAATAATATTTACAAGATGCTTCAGAAATTCCGATATCGACTCTGGAATTCATTCGTTTCATGTTAAACCGCAGATTCTTATTCAAATTTTGTAGACCAGAAAGTTTCTTGTTATGCTATAATTTTTATACAAGGATGTTAAGAAAGTTTCTCATGCTGTATAATTTTT